GTGTGTGAGTGTGTGTGTGTGTGTGTGTGTGTGTGTGTGTGTGTGGCCTTAAATGTGTGTGTTTCAGATGAAGTGGAAGGTCCTGTCCTGGCTATAAACTCAAGCTGGTCCAGTCCTGACCCCTGTAGCTTTACATGTAAAGGAAGTAACATTTTTATCAGCTCCATCTATAATGGTAGCAGCTGTTCACAAGAGGAAGTGGTATCAGCTGATAATCACACTCTAAGACTGAACTGCAGTGGTGACTCCATCATGTGTAACTACAGAAACCCAGTGAGCTCGAAGACTCAAGTAAAGAAGGTTAATGAACTCTGCACTGTTAAGCAAGGTACATTCTGTATCCGCTCTGAGCTGTAAACACACTCACAGATGAAGAAATAGAAAAACAATGACTTAATCTTAAATACTGTAAGATGTGCCACTCTTCATTTTAAATGGCAAACACTGAACTGAAATTTCTATTAATATAAACCTCAATCTGTGAAAACTGAAGGTATATGTTCTTATTTTTCATGTCTATAAACAGGAACACATGAAAAAGCATCAGCGTTTCCACCTGGGATCATTGTTTCTATTTGTCTATTCACATTGACATTGGCGGCAGTGATCAGCTTTTGTATTTACAAAGCGAAAAAAGGTACAATGCATCTTATCCTGCAGTTATCTTATGACACATCATAAAGGATTTCAATAACACTTTTAGCACGTTCATATTGTTTGCTACTGAACAGACTAAGAGTAGGTTATTTCTCTATCTAGTCATACCTCAGATGTCTCACAATTTATGGATCAAATATTAGTGTAAGATATTTGTGCTATTCTTATGAACTAAAAAACATTTTGTCAGTGAGAAAACCCTTTACACAAAGTTTGTCATTCCCTAGTAGTGTAATTCTACAGAGGTTTTTCAGAGCATCTGAGTGCAGTTTAAGGCAACTTCACTTCCCTAGTTTGTTATTTTTAGAGATAGCTGAACTAGTTTCATTTTTAAAGTGCTTTAAAAATAAACAGGGCTGTTTTTTTCTCAGTTTTTCACCATTGTATTTACATTTTTGCTGTCACAATTTAATTTTACTACCTTGACACTTCTGCTTTTAAACCCTTATGACACACTTGTTTGCTTCCATTAGAAGTGCATTAACCATATTATTATAGCCAAGGATGCTGATACATTTTTAAAAGCTTTGTAGAGAAAAAAGGTATATTTGTTCTGTCTATACACAGAAAATTGTCATGAAAACTGATGTTCTGTTTTAAACATCATAGGTGCCCAGAAGAATGACCAAACAATCTATGCAAAATTTGATGTAAGTGTTATACTACTATTCTTCATTAACCACATATACTAATTAAATGGTATCACACCATCTGTTATCTTTTAAAACAAGTATGCAACATTGTGTTCCATCTCTCGGTTTTTGGTAGTCAAATCCTACACTCCCAGAAAAAAAGATACAAAGCTGTCACTTGGGCATACCCTCTCAAAAGATACTCATATTTACTATTTAGGTACTAATATATGTACCTTTAAGGTACTTATATGCACCTGTTAGGGGTAAATAAGGTACAAAGGTGTACGTTTTGAAAGGGCACCATCTCAGTGACAGCTTTGTACCTTTTTTCTGAGAGTGTCTGAGAGTGTAGACACTTAGTGTTTGCATTCATTTATTAATTCACTGTTATTTCTTGTTGGTTATTTACTGTCACATGGGCACAGGTGATCACTTCTATTTTCTTTATTATTTCTTATGGCAAATTATTTGGTATGAAAAAAAGGGTGAGTAGCAGATGACAGCTTTCTGTTGATCGCACTGCATTGGTTTAAATGATGTATGTGTTCAATGCCTCATGCCTTATCAAATAAATCAAAAACAAGCTAGAAATGATCAGTATTCTATGATAGAAATGATGAGTATTCTATTTGATGGTAATGACAAATCACAAATGAGTCAAGAAGGATTATCCCATACTCTATGCTATTGGATGCCACTAATAGTATCTGTATATAAGCATTCACCACTCATTTCAGCCAAATCAGCAGTCTGACATTTAGATTGGATTGTGTCCACAGGAGAACATCAAGCCACAAAAGTCGCTGGAGATGTTGGAGAAATCAGAGAATCCTCATACAGTGTATACTACTGCAAGAGATTTAGGACAAACTGATGTTACCAACCACACCACACCCAACGACGACCCTATGAATCAGGTGAAGATTAAACAATGACTCTAATCTCACTTAGTAACAATTCATTGAAAATTAAATGATGGTTACTTTGGATTAAATATCTTAATTTGGAATAAAGGTGAAGACAAGCTTAAGTCAACGACATTCAAATGATAAAGTTATTATATTTGTGGCTTAATGTTTGGGAAACAACCTGCCAGTTTGCAGCCTGTAGTTGTTTAAATTATTTGTTGGAAAATTGTTTTACATGAACTGCAGCTGATTTTGTTGTGCTTTATTTCAGAGTGCATTACACAAAGAGAGGAGCAAGCCAAATGCACCAGTCACTATCTACTGTACCATTCAGCAGAAACCAAAATCCCCCAAAACTGAAACTAATCACACCATTTATGCTGTAGTCAATAAACCGTCAGCCGGATATGAATCTGCACATCCACAATCAGAATAAAAGTGAACTTTCAATAAAAACCCTAAACCCTTACAGTGATTAAAAGTGATAAAGGACTTCATGTGTTCAGGAAGGCAGTGTTATTCTCAGTGTAAATAAGCAACATATTTACCATGTGCAGTGTGCTCCTATTGTAGTTGATTTAGGGTGTGTTAAAGATATTTAAATACGTAAATTCTGTCTTTTTTTAAAGCAGCAGTGAATGTATTTTTATTGTAAAATTGTTGTACATGTGACTCAGACAGGAATGCAAAATCTCATGTGGATTCAGTAGATTTCTATTGGCGATACCTCGCCGCCTTTGCAGGCAACGCCTGAAAATCACTTCCTGGAAAGTATTTGTCAGTCTTTAGATTTATTGAAGGGTCATCAGGGCTGGGGAATAACGAAATACATGTAACGGCGTTACGTATTTAAAAAAAACTGTATTTCATTATAATTAAATAATGTTACAGTTACAGTTACATCCGAAAAGTATTTTAGATTACCAAAGTGATTACTTTGAATTTTAATGTCATTTCTTAATTTAATATTTAAGTAAACAGTTTGGGGATTTTAAACAATAAGGCAACCTTAGACTTTTATTTTATGACTTTTATTTAACCCATGGACAGCTAAAACCCCACGCCTTACATGCTCACCATCATGACACAAAAATGGACGACACAACAGAAAGCCATTCGCGTAATGCA